GGGCTCGAACTCATGGACCGCGAGATCGTGACCTGGCTGAAGTCGGACGCTTAACCGACTGCGCCACCCAGGCGCCCCTCACCTAGCAAGACTTTCTGCTTCAAGAGACACTTGAAATGGCTCCTATCAGTTACACAAAGGCAGGGCTCAGGGTAAATCCGCTTTGCTGTAATGGTTCTTCTTCAGCAATGTGTCCTTTAAATTAGGTTCAGAGGACATCCACCCCACTGTCCTGAGAAGACAAGATATTTTGTGCTTGTAATGCCCCTGAAAAGGCTGCCTTACCTCCTAGTGAGGTGGCTCCCCAAAGGGCAAGAGGCTCCGAGCCCATGACTTGCCCTTGCCATGGGAAGTGGCAGGAAGGTAGTTTTAGGAGCCTGAGCGTAGAGCGTCCTCAGCCAAGCTTGGAGGTAAAGGGAGTGGGCTCGTTTTACTGTAGGCCCAAGCCGCATAAGCAAGGGCATCACAGAAGGGAGCTGCGAGCAGGCCGGTTCACACAACTACTTAGGACCAATCTTCCACAGCAACACCACATGGTGGCAAGTAATAACAGCAGGGGCTCGCCCAGCGGACTCATTTCTGAAGTGAAAGGAGGCTGTACCCCCTTTAGACACCTACACCCCTGGGAGCTGCGCAATTTAAAGTTATTGGACTTACCCCAATAAGGTTATGTGAGGCCTTCGATGAATAATAGGAAAAATGTGAGTAAACCACCACCCTACTCGGACCCCTTTGTTCGCTCTAAATTTAACATCTGGCGGGAATTTTTAAAAAACGCTGTCCTCTGTTAGTTCCTTCAACCCTATCAGTGATCTCGGAGATGGGCTTCAGAGTTCTGCTTGGCTTTGCGGCAAGTCCTGCTTATTCTAAAAGTGAAACTGATTTCAATTGGTTTTGAATAGTCCCCTGAAAGGTCACTGCTCTTAGCAAGGGCTTCAAAGACAGACAAGAGAACACAAATAATTTCACTGTGGGTCCAAGTAGGGGGATGCAGGCACAGAGCCTGCTCTGGAGGATCTAGTTTTGAAGCCAAGCACAGGAAACACGTTGGGGGCCCAGTAATACAACACCATAATTGTATGGTCTGAGCAGAGCAGCAGGTGCACCAGGGAGGGCAAAGCCACTGCGGATAGGAACACTACGAAAGATGCTGGGCAGCAATTCCAAATGTTCATACCCTTTGACCCAGTATTTCACAACTTCCAAAATGTATCCAAAGAAAGCAATCAGATGTAGACAAACGTGTACCTATGGGGAAGTAGACGGCAGCATCATGTGTACGGGTAAACAATTAGAAGCAACCCAAGTGTTCAGTAAAAGCAAAGTATGTAAACAAATTAGGGGTCGATTCGTGCAATTGGGAAGGTTACGGACAGAAAGGGACCACAAGGTTCTCTAACTCCACCTGGGTAGTGGTCTTGTTTTATGGTATACGCAACGTGTAGAAATTCACCACGCTGTACGTGACACTTTCAAAATAGATAAATAAAAAGATGTATAGACCGATGACAGATAATCTAGGCACTGAAATCAGTGCTGAACAACATGGGATGCTCCCGATTTCATATTAAATGTTAAAATGCAATATATGAACTATATATATTGCGATCATCATTTTGGTTTTATGAAAACATGTATACTTCTTGGACATGATGCACAGAAAAAATACTGGAACGAAAGAAGCCAAAATATTTACAGCTGTTCTCTCTGACAGGCAGAATGCCAGGTGATTTTTCTTATGACATTTGTGCCCGAAGTTCCCCATTTTCTAGAATGAAGATGTGGTGTGTCCTCGTCCTCTCATCCAGTGCTGGGGTTATTCTGACCTCTAGTAGCCTCCAGCCATCATCTTCTGACTCGGACACAGCTAATCAGAAGCGTGCCCGTAATCTCCAAAATCCTGAACGTGGATTTGCCATCAGGCCTCCTGACGGATGTCCATCTAAATCCTAACAGTGTGCATTTTGCCCACTGCCCCAGTTTTGAATTCTTCTTAGTAATAAAGAGAATGACATTTGTTGAGTCCCTGCTACATGTCAGGTTCCACACTGAGGGCTTTACATGAGGACCCAGATGAACCCCTCCGGACAGTCAGGCCCCTGTGTCAGTTCCCCCTCTTGACGCTTGATGGCAGTGGGGGGAGGGGTGCTACAATTCGCTCTAGAGAATGCAGTGGAACCATGCTCTGCCCGGTGTAGGTTAAAGCTTTAAGAAGGCCTGGCAGTTACCACCCAACCCAGCAAATCCACTCCTAGCAATCTCCCCAAGAACACTGAAAACCTACACTCACAGACTTGTACAGGTAAACGTCCACAGCAGGACTATTAACAGGTACAAGGTACAAACACCAAATGTCCACCAGCTGGTGAACAGATAAATGAGATGTATATCCACACACTGGAATATTATTCAGCCATGAAAAGGAAACTAAGAGAAGCAGCATCCACCTTTGCAGTCCTGGGAGCATAGAGCTGCCATGTCACAATCTAGTGGCTGTGCTAAAAGGCACTTTGGCAAGAGCTAGTGACCCAAGGCCTCTGTGAAGGAGAACAAGGTTCCCGGTGACAGAGAACACCAAGCCCCATATGCCTAACCCCAACAGGCTGGGACAACTCAGGTGAGGTGCCAGGCAAGTGAGTTGAGAACCTCTTGGGGCTCAGAGCTGGCTCCACTGCGCCCCAGCCAATTTCCTGCCCAAAGAACTGTGACTCCTAATAGTAGAGGTTTTTAAGCCACTTAGTACTGGGGTCATTTGTTACTCAGCACTAGCTAAGAGAGACAGGGTTGCTAATGTAACCTCAAGGGACACATGAGGAAGATCCGGAGCTTAAACAGAGAGGAGAGGGGCGCCTGGGTGGCTCAGTCGGTTGAGTGTCCGGCTTCAGCTCAGGTCGCGATCTCACGGTTCGTGGGTTCAAGCCCCTCATTGGGCTCTGTGCTGACAGGTCAGAGCCTGGAGCCTGTTTCGGATTCTGGGTCTCCCTCTCTGCCCCTCCCCCACTCGCGCTCTGTGTGTGTCTCTCTCTCTCTCTCTTTCTCAAAAATAGATAAACGTTAGGAAAAAAATTAAATGGGGAGGAGACTCACACACAGCCACGTCACCAACAGTGCAGCTGGGATTCCAGACGGAATCTTTCTGATGCGGCTACTTAACTCCTCGGCCCCTCCCGCCTGGTGTTGGTCTTCGGCCGTGTGTCTCCTGTGTTTCTGTCCTCTCCTGAACCCGTGCCCTGTCTCATTCTTCTCGCCTGCTGACAGTTCTCTCCTCTGACCTGCTGCACACACACGTCCAGGCAGCTGATTTTCTTTTAAGCTTTAATTACCTTCTTTATTACGCTGACCTTCAGCTAAGTACAGGGTAACAAATAATCACACATAAAAACAACACAGTGCACATAGTCTTAACACACCCACTTAGGCATGAAGAAAATAAAGGATCAATCTGCCTCTCTTTTGATTCCACTTTTCCACTACTGCCCATGCTTTTTTCTAGTAGCTGCGGGAACACTCCTACGGATCCCTTTCATTCACCTTTAATTCTTTGGAAGGCAGACCAGGTAAATACGCTTGTGAAACTGTAAAACTGACTTTGTCTGCTTTTGGCTTACAGTCATAAAATTATTCTCGCCTTTTTTTTTAATTAAAAAAATGTAATGTTTATATTTGAGAGAGAAAGAGAGCGCGCACAAGCAGGGGAAGGGCAGAGAGAGACGGAGACAGAATCTGAGGCAGGCTACAGGTTCTGAGCTGTCAGCACAGAGCCTGACGCGGGGCTCGAACCCACGAACCACGAGATCATGACCTGAGCTGAAGTCGTCCCTTGCCTGAGCCACCCAGGCCCCCCTTGCCTTTTCCTTTTTTAAAAAAAGACCTCCAAAAATTTGCCAAAATTGTGTTTCTGAAATGTTCAAATAATCTCATCACTTGGCCAGGTGGTCTAAATCACTTGTTAGATTAGAGGCTATTATGTATTACATATGCATACATATGTAAATATTATACGGCAAAATATAGAGAATATATTATGGTTTCATATTCTCTCAGTTACTCTGGTGAGGCAACGAAATAAGATCAGTAACTGTTCTAATGCTCTAGTGAATGATTTTGATAAACATTTTCTTTAAGCATCTCCAGAAATAAGATCAGATCACCCTTTCTACCTCAGTAAAGGAATTGCAGGATAAAGTCAATTTATTGTAGCTTTTTCTGTTCCAGATGGTCTTGCCGACAGACAGTTTGGATCTTCTTGCCCCCTGCTCTAAAAACTCAGGGACCTCGGCTCACGTAAACCCCTGGCCTTGTGAGCCACGCCCCCTCACCGGCACACACATCACATGCTACAATGTGACACACATAAACGGCCCATCTTCCCGACCAGCCTTATTCCTCACCATCCCTAAGTGGGTTTTCTCCACTCCTGCACACTGGTCACCTAGCTATCCAACCAGGTGGCCTGGCCCTTGCTTCTCAGAGGAGTGACCTGGCTAAAGTCACATGACTGGATTTTAGACAGGATTACGACTGCAGCCCAAAGCTCAGGGGTCCCAGACTGGCAGAGAAACGCATGAACCAAATCAGCTGCAAGCCACTTCCCCAAGGAGCAGACAAGGGCCAAGGGACTGATGTCAGAAAGCAACCAGGAGCAGACAGGAGCCACAGTCAAAGGCCCAAACTGGCCAATGGAATGTGTCAGAAACAAAGGCACAGTGTTGTGCCTCAACCCAGAAAGCAATGCGATGCTCTAGAAAACACGCCCTACAAATACTGCAGGCTATATATACAGAGAGGAGTGTCAAGTCCTGACGAGACCGGGTCCTGAGCCATCGCTGTCACAGACGGAGAAACTGAGGCACTAACAGGACCAATGACCTCTCCCCAACATCACTGGCACGTGAGGGACAAGGGAACGACTCGGAGCGCAGGCCCACGATCCCCTCCCCGCCGTTCCCAAACCCCATAGCTCAAAAAGCCCAAAGAATTTCTTTAAGTTTGCGCCAGGCCCGTGTGGTTGACAAAGGCTGTCTGAGGCCATTCCACCTTTGTCTGTCCAGCTCTGTGTGAATGTTACGAAGTCTGGCTACAGAAGTGTTACTTTTTGATGAGGGAGCGCGGCCAGCCCAGATACCTCGGGGTATCGTGTCACGTATAGGACACGCTGCTGGAAAGTGCAAGTTCTGAATCCGGAGTTGGCTCGGGTGCCCCGGGCCTCCGGACACGTCTTATGGATAAGGGTGGCCTGAGATCCACGTCAGCGAGCAGGTGGAATGAGCCCAAATAAAGGTGTTTGGGGGCGGGCGGGGGGTGGGGGGGGAGCAGTGCAGCAGCACAGGAGAAGGGCCAGGGGACGAGGCTTCACGTCAGCTCTGCTGAGGACACCGGGAGACCTTGGGCAAGTCACTTCCCTGGATAGGCCTTCAATTTCCTCATCGGGAAAAACGGGATGACGGCGATCCTTTGGACACCCCTCGTTGTGCCTCGTAGTTAAAAAAACTAAATTAGAAAAAATAAATAAATAAAAACCACGGCCTGGGGCACCTGGGTGGCTCAGTGGGTTAAGCGTCCGACTTCAGCTCAGGTCATGATCTCACGGCATGGGTTTGAGCCCTGCATTGGGCTATCTACTGTCAGCAAAAACCCCCTTCCAATCCTCTGTCTCCCTCTCTCGGCCCCTCCCCCACTCATGTTCTCTCTCTCTCTCTCTCTCTCTCTCTCTCTCTCAAATAAGTCAACTTAAAAAAAAGTGTTAAAAAAATAAAATAAAAACCACTGCCTGATGGGTACACGTGAAATCAAGCACTAGTCTCCCTTTTTGTGTGTTTATAATTTTCCAGAAGAAAGTTAAAGACGAAAAAAGAAGTCACACAGCCAGGCCTGTTTGTATATGTGCTGTCTCTGGCTGTTTTCACACTGCAAAGGCTGGGTTGCACAGTTGAGAAAGAGACTGTGTAGTCCTGCAAAGCCAAAAGTATTTACTGTCTGGCCCAGTGTTAGGCCTGATAACATCACCCCACCCCCAACGAGATCCTGGCCATAATACAGCACTTGGAACCTGTAAACAAATTGTGATACATGGTAAGAGAGAATTAAGGTTGCAGATGGAAGTAAGGGTGCTAATCGGCTGACCTTAAGATAAGGAGATTATTCTGGATAATCCCAGTGGGGGGGGGGGGGTGGGCAACGTAATCACAAGCGTCCTTAAATGGGGAAGAAAGCAGAATCGGAGAAAGATGGCATCTTGACAAAGACCAGAGCAGCCACTGCTGGCTTGGAAGGTGGAGGGAGGACGGGGCCACGGACCAAGAAGGTGGACAACTTCTAGAAGCTACAGGCAAGGCGAGGAAACAGATTCTCCTCGAGGGCCGCCAGAAGCAGCCAGCTCTGCCAACACCTTGAGACACCATTTTGGGCTTCTGACCTCCAGGGCTATATGACCGCACATCTTATAGTTGCCACAAGGGCAACTCCCACAAGGCCCCGGATGAAGAAAGCTTACCACTCTCTCTTTCAGACGCGGCTGCCCCATGCGAGGTTTCTGCAGTGAAACACACTTGAAATGTAGCTACTCGCTTGACTCAGCAGTCGGGTTTTTAATTTTAGTTCATTTGAGATGGACACTGAAATAGCCACGTGTGGCTAGTGGCTACCGCACAGCATCATTGCCACAAAGCGTGGTCCGGGGACCAGCGGTACGGGCATCACCCGGGAGTTGGGTGAAATGAGGAACCTCGGCCCACCCCCACCCCTCCCACCCCCGTCTGCTATGCCAAATGCACACTTTGCCAAGACCCCTAGGGGATTCATGGGACATCACAGTCTGAGATGCTGAGGTCAAAGCTATCATCCCACTCACATGCAAATACTTCACTACGGAACATCAGGAAACATAGTCCGTCTGCACCAGTTGTTAGGGTCGGCTTTCCCGGACCACGGGGAGTTCTCTGAAGTTTTTAATGCCTCGAAGCACACTATTAGCCAAACACACGGACTTCACTGCTCCTGAACCTCTACTACAGGGCAGACCTTTGACCGTCTATTGTGGACTGAGCTCCACCCTCTCAAAATTCACGTGAAAGCTTTAACTCCCAAAGTGAGGGTTAACCCTACCTGTGGGGATAAGGCCTTGAGAGGGGTAACTCAGGTTAACTGAGGTCGTAAGGCTGGGCCCCTGATCCAGTATGGCCGGTGTCCGTGTCGGAAGAGAGATGCACATGCGTGTGCACAGAAGACAGGCCGTGTGAGCATACCGCAAGAAGGCCACCATTTGCAAGCCAAGGGGAAAGATCTCACCAGGAGCCAACCATGCTGGCACCTTGACCTGGGACTCCCAGCCGCCGGAACCGTCGGTTTTTTAAGCCGCCCGGTCTGTGACTACAACACTACCTCATTTAGGCTTCACAAAACCCCATCAAGGTCTTTAAAAAATTTTGTTTTTTAAATTTCTTATTTTGGGAGACAGAGAGCGACAGAGTGGGAGGGGCAGAGGGAGAGGGAGACACAGAATCCGAAGCAGGGCTCCAGCCCCTGAGCTGTCAGCCCAAAGCTCAACGCAAGGCTCGAACCCACCGACCGCAAGATCACGACCCAGGCCGAAGTCGGACACTCAACCAACTGAGCCACCCAGGCGGCCTGAGATCTTTTCATAGAACTAATGACAGAGGCGCCTGGGTGGCTCAGTTGGTTGAGTGTCCAACTCTCGATTTTGGCTCAGGTCACGATCCCAGGGTCGTGGGATCGAGCCCCACGTCGGGCTCTGCACTGATAAGCGTGGAGCCTGCTTGGGATTCTCTCTCTCTCTCTTCCCCCCCGCCGCCCCTCTCACCTGCTCATGCTCGATCTCTAAAATTAAAAATTTTAAAAAGGTTTAAAAAAAAGTAATGACAGGGGCGCCTGGGTGGCACAGTCGGTTAAGCGTCCGACTTCAGCCAGGTCACGATCTCGCGGTCCGTGAGTTCGAGCCCCGCGTTGGGCTCTGGGCTGATGGCTGGGAGCCTGGAGCCTGTTTCCGATTCCGTGTCTCCCTCTCTCTCTGCCCCTCCCCCGTTCATGCTCTGTCTCTCTCTGTCCCAAAAATAAATAAACGTTGAAAAAAAAAAAATTAAAAAAAAAAAAAAAGTAATGACAGCAACGAAAATAACACCACTTACTGAGTGTCTGCTGCATGTGAGGCACGTTATAGGTGTCATGGCTCTCTCCCTCACTGTCCCCATATCACAGATGAGGACATGGGGGTACAAAGATGCCAATGCACTGCCCCCCATTACACTCTGTAAGGGACAGAGCCTGGGTCTGGCCCAGACCTCCATCTTGCTTTCTAACATAACCATCTTTTCCACTCTTTCCCCTGATTCACAGTAAACTCTAATTAAATGCACTAAAGCTTTATTCCCTTTAAAATAACTTCTACAACTCCCCCAGCATACTCCACACTCTGTGGCCCACATTTACCACGAACGGCCACAACGATTAATGTGAACCAAACGCAGGCCAACAGGAACCACCCATAAGATGTCTCAAAAAAAAAAAGAAAAAAAAAGAGTACTGTCTAGGGGCACCTGTGTGGTTCAGCCGGTTAAGCATCTGACTCTTGATTTTGGCTCAGGTCATGATCTCACGGTTCATGAGTTCGAGCCTATTGGTCTCTCTGCTGACAGTGAGGAACCTGCTTAGGATTCTCTCTCCCCCTCTCTCTCTGCCCGTCCCTCCTTTTCTCTCTCACAAACCAAATAAACAAACATTAAAAATACATACACTGTCTAGTCTAGGGAGTCAGCAAACCTTTCTGTAGAGTCAGACAGTAAATATATTCAGTTTTACGGGCCAGATGGTCTCTGTCGCAAGGACTCATTGTCCCAAAAGCAGCCACTGATGATACATAAATGAATGGGCGTGGCGGTGTTTCAATAAAACTTTATTTATGGACAAAGAACGCACAATTTCCTTTCATTTTCTTCTCGATCCTTTACTGACCATTAAAAAAATGTAAAAACCATTCTGTCTGGCGGGCCACGCAGTCAGGGGGTGAACCGGATGTGGGCGGCAGTCTGTTGACCCCCAGTCTCATCCAAAACAACCCACAGGTCACACAGAAAACTACAGACAGACACAGAATTTTCTAATCGAAAAATGTGGACTTTGAATTTCTCACTAGTTCTAGACCCCTTTCGCCCAATTTCCCGTGAGGAATGCTCACTATTACCAAACTCTCATTTCTAGCAACTCTCGAGTACTAGAGAGGGGCTCGAAGAGAGTCAAGCACTTTTCTCTGTGGAATAATGCAAATCAAGGGAATAATGAAAACAAGCCCCTGAGTAGAATTTACATCTTTCTTTAACAAAATAACATGCTGGGGCGTGTGGGTGACCCGGTCGGTTAAGCGCCCGACTTCGGTCAGGTCATGATGTCACAGTTCGGTTCCTGAGTTTGAGCACTGAGCCGGGCTCTCTGCTGACAGCTCAGAGCCTGAAGCCTGCTTCAGAGTCTGTCTCTCTCTCTCTCTCTCTCTCTGTCTCTCTGCACCTCCCCCCGTGCACACTCTCTCCTGCTCTGTGTCCCAAAAGTAAGCAAACGTTAAAAAAAATTTTTAAATACCATGCCTTCTGCTCTATACGCAAACAGCACACATCTTTCATCAACACGGGAAAACATCGGGAGGTTTGTCAAATATTTCATAAACACAAATTTGGTTAAGAAGGAGATAATGAAATGGTTGAAATGAAACGAAAATGCCTCACTAATGACAGCCTCACTGGCTTTTCAAATCTAACCACTTCAGAGGAGAGCCGATCTCATTATCACGTTGCACGGCTGCACGGAAAGAGCTCCCACTCGGGAGAATTCACAGGGAGCCCAGGAGCCATCTCTCCCCAAACTATCAAGAGGAATAACATTCCATTTTGGTCTATTAAGCACAGCTCTTGAAAATGGCTGGCTCGATTTTCAGCAAATTCGAAAAACATATTTGCAAAATGTTTATGAAAACCGAGACCACGAGGTGTGCGGATGACTCCACCCGAGGGCCGTGGGGGGGCGGGGGTGGGGAAGGGGAAGGGCACCTTGAGATTCTCTATCATCCCCTAGCTCCAGGGTCAGCAAATGTGGCACGTGAATGGGCCAGAAAGACAGTATTTTCAGGTCTGCGGGGCAGATGGTCTCCGTCACATCTCTGCCATTGTAGCAAGAGAGCAGCTAAAGCAGCCTTAGACGATACCTATCCGGAGGGCGGTGGCTGGGTGAAAATAAAAACTTTATTTACAAAAAAACAGGTGGCGAGCCGGGCTCTGCCTGGGAACCACAGCTCCTGACCTCTGCTCTAGAACAGCGGGACCTGAAGTGCAACGAGAAACCCACCAAACGAGGGACACGTTCCACTCAAAGGGCAGGTGCTGCAAACGGTGGCCTTGTTTTCATTCTCAACGTGCAGCTCCCCACCTTGGCCGTGACTCCATGCAACATGCTCCAGGGCAAGCAGTAGTTTACTTAGATGGTGGTGAAGGTCCTTAACCCTCAGGATCAGGGTAGACAGCCAACCGGTGTGATGTCAACCACAGTAGCTTTCACGAAGAAACAGTTATCTGGGTGGCGCCTGAAAACCGCGTCCTTATTAACAGGTTAAGCAAACTGAAGCAGCCGGAGATCACTCCCGGCCAAAGCTGATGGGGATCTAGAACCCAGTTCTTGTACATAGGAACATACGCTACGCTCAGTATGAACAAATGAACAAACAAAGACACAAATTATCCAAGATTCGTTTTTCTTTGGAGTTCTCAGCTCAAAGCTGTCAAGATGATCTCTTTTTCTTTTACCTTTTTTTAATGGTTTTATTTATTTTCTTGAGAGAGAGAGAGAGTGTGTGTGGGCAGGGGAGGGGCAGAGAGAGAGGTCAGCAGAGGAGCCAAAGCAGGCTCTGTGCTGACAGCAGTGAGCCCGATGTGGGGCTCGAACTCACAAACTGTGAGGTCACGACCTGAGCTGAATCAGATGCTTCACCAGCTGAGCCACCCAGGTGCCCCAAGGTGGATCTTTTTTAAAAAGTGACCCTGAGGGGTGCCTGGGTGGCTCAGTCGGTTAAGCGGCCGACTTCGGCTCAGGTCATGATCTCACGGTCCATGGGTTCAAGCCCCGCGTCAGGCTCTGTGCTGACAGCTCAGAGCCTGGAGCCTGTTTCAGATTCTGTGTCTCCCTCTCTCTGACCCTCCCCCGTTCATGCTCTGTCTCTCTCTGTCTCAAAAATAAATAAATAAATGTTTAAAAAAAAATTTTTTTTTAAATAAAAAGTGACCCCGAAATTCATTAGGGATGATATACCAAATTGTTCATCACAATATTATTTATGAAAGACAAAACCCGGAGACAACTCAAGTTTCCATCAGCTGGGGACAAATTAAATTAATCACGACACATCATTACAATAACTTCTTTGCAGTTATTAAGAATGGTAACTGAAAAAAGAAAAAAAACACAGGGGCACCCGGGTGGCTCAGTCGGTTAAGCGTCTTGGCTTCAGCTCAGGTCATGAACTCATGGTTCGTGAGTTCGAGGCCCAATTCAGGAGGGCTGTCTGCTGTCAGCACAAACTCCACTTCAGATTCTCTCTCACTCTCTCTCTCCCTCTCTCTGCCCCTCCCCCGCACATGTGCATGCATGCGTGCGCGCTCTCTCTCTCAAAAATAAACATTAAAAAAATAAAAGAACCGTAACTGTAGGAAAAAATACAGAAATGTATCATCAGATGAGAAAAGCAGGCTAGAACACACAAAGATACAATTTATGTCATGAAAATGTATGCCCCATACCCAATGCACATGCACAGAGAAAGAGCCAGAAAGATGTGTACCTTGAGTGACGCCCTCTGCGGGAATGTGATTATTGGTAGTTGTATCCTTTCGAGTAAAGCCGTATATTACAATTTATCTACAATGAACATGCGTTGGTAGTAAGAAACTTTAGAATAAAGCAAACAAAAGCCACTCCAGCTACCATAGTGGACCGGATGATGCAGCCTTCCTAGATACTCCAGAGTCACTGGTGAAGGGAGCCAGCGAAGGTCACAACGGTTATAGCAGTGGCATTTGTCAGAGTGGACAAAGTACAAGTTCAAAGCACGTACAAGAGGGCCAAGGTCAAAGAGAGATTTACTGACACCAGGCAGTAATTAAAACTGAGCACGGTGCAGGCGCTCCTGGGCGCCTGTCGATTAAGCGTGTGACTCTTCGTTCCAGCTCAGGTCAAGATTTCACGGTCTGTGAGTTCGAGCCCTGCGTTGGGCTCCACACTGGCAGTGCAGAGCCTGCTTGGGATTCTCTCCCTGCCTTTCTCTCTCTCTGCCCCTCTCCCGTTAGCGTGTGCATACTCTCTCTCTCTCTCTCAAAATAAATAAACTTAAAAAAGTTTACACACACACACACACACACACACACACACACACACACACAAAAGAGCACCATGGAGCCTGTCTGGCAACTCAGAACCCAAGCTGGCTTCTCCACCATCAAACAACATCATATCCAGGCATGTATCTCATTCTATCGCACTTCATTGACGCCGTGTTTTCTACAAACTGACGGTTTGTGGCAACTAGCTTCTTGGCCCCATTTTCCCAACAGCGTCCAATCACTTCACGTCTCTGTGTCACATTGTGCTAATTCTCACCACATTTCAAACTTTTTCATTATTAGTGTATTTGTTCCGGTGATCTGTGATCAGAGATTATGGCTCACTGAAAGCTTAGATGACGGTTAGCGCTTTTTAGCCATCAAGTGTTTTTTAATTACGAGTGCACGGGGTTGTTTTTTTTTTTTGATGTGATGCTTAATGTACAGTTACTAGACTAGAGTGTCTATAAACACAACTGTTATATGAATCGGGAAACCAAAAACTTGACTTAACTTGCTTTATTGCAATATTCGCTTTACTGTAGTGGTCTGGAACTGAACCCACAGTATCTCCAAGGTTTGCCTGTATACCGTTGTATATAAGGAAAATGCTAGAAAGGCAACAGGAAGATAGGAAAATGTTTCCTATGCTGGAAAACTGTTTCTAATTCTTTTTTTTAGTATTTATTTTTTGAGAGAGAGAGAGAGAGACTGAACACTAGCGGGGGAGGGGCAGAGAGAGAGGGAGACACAGAATCGGAAGCAAGCTCTAGGCTCTGAGCTCGATGTGGAGCTTGAACTCGTGAACCGCGAGATCATGACCTGAGCCGAAGTCGGACACTTAACCGACTGAGCCACCCAGGCACCCCTCTAATTTTTTTAAACCATACAATCGAGGGGCGCCTGGGTGGCTCAATCAGTCATGCGTCCAACTTCGGCTCAGGTCATGATCTTGTGGTCTGGGAGTTCAGGTCCCGCATCAGGCTCTCCGCTGTCAGCATGGAGCCCACGTGGGATCCTCTGTCCCCTTCTCTCTCAGCCCTTTCCCTGCTTGTGCGCTCCCTCTTTCAAAACTAAATAAACATAAAAAAATGAAAACCAAAAAAAATAATAATAAAAACAAAACCAATACAATTGCTCTTTAAAGGTGTGTGTGCACAAATGTAGGCAAAGGAGAGAAAATGCAGGCAGTGAGGACACCCACACCGAACATTTAAGCTTGCTGAACTTTTCAATCGCCCCAGGCAGATGGGACCCTCAGACCCCTTTTGGAGACTGGAAACTGAGGCAAGGAGTGGGGAAGCAAGCAGCCAAGGTCTCACTAGCAAGGAGCAGAGATGCGACTCGAACCTGCAGCTAACTGACCCAGAAGCATGAGCGCTTAAATTCTGGGCAACCCTACGCACCCAAAACTCAAACGTCAATAATCTTTCACGTTAATGAGGGTTCTTGAAAAGCTTCCTCAAGATACACATCCATGAGACACAACTTTCAAAAGGTACAGCAGCCTCCGAAGCGATGCTGATGGGAGCTTAACAAGGAGATAACAGTTCTCTGGGGAAAAAAATACAACTATTGAAACAAAATCTCAATGACAGCATTCTCTTCGCAGAGCACGATTCACCCCCATAACATATGAATGCCTCTCCTCACTGAAACCTCAGCACCAGTCTGAATAAGGCGGCGAGGTTTCCTCGCACCACTGACACGGCTTGATGAGTGACCAGGCAAGATCTCGGCACATCTGTTCTGGCTGACAAGGACACAGGCCTGGGCGAAGCTCGATTCGGCCGCTACGTTCCCCAGCGACTTACAAACCACATGCCCGGGTGTGACAAGGGAATAAATTATACAAGCAGTGAAGGAGAATGACGTTGGCAAAGCAGCAGTGAGAGCGGATTTGACCCGAGTCTAGCAAAACCCCGCTGCCGTCACCGGCTCTTTCTATACTGCCAAGAGTGGCCGGGTCAAAAATCACATTGGCCCAATTCCAGCCGCACATTTATTCACGCAAAATCTCAAAAGGGAAACCTAAATATTGCCTCTTTTCTGACTTTTTCACAGCCTCCGAAATGAATTCTCAGTGTTCCCCCCAGTGTAGTTCATAACAACTCGGGCTGGAAGTCAACTAACTTCTTGGTTAAAAAATGTATAAACAAAAGATCCTTTTTAGAAATGAGCTTTATTTTCAATGCGACTCAGTTCTGCAAGTCTACAGGTTTACTTGGTTACTTCTTCCTCCCGTCAGGTTTACCTACAAATCAGGATTTCAAAAACCACAACGAACAAATCAAACACCGGCAGGATCCGGGTGCTGACCACCGGCATTTCGTCTTGGCAATAAAAGGCCTCCCTTTCAATGAAGATTCTGTGCAAAATGCTAGATTTCCTCGAGTGAGGCTCCTTGTTTTTCAACCTTGAAATCACTCACTTGAAAATCAGACCCGGAATTCCAAACTTTGAGAACTGGGTCCTGATACCCCCCATGGACGGCACCCTCGTTCCGAAAATGATACAATTAATGGCCCCAAAAGTGACTTTAACAGAGGACTTCAAGGCAAGGCGAAGTTTCTCCTAACACCCACATCTGCCTGCTCTGTACCTCTCTTCCATGGGAATCGGTAATACTTCACCCTTAAAGTCCTGGGGATGACCTCAGCTGCACTGAGTGGCCAAGCAGAGCCCATCGAGACAGGAAAGGAATTTGGACACAGGCCCAGCAACAATGAACTTGCTTGTTATTCGTAAATACAGTCCAGTAAAGAGGTTCCATCAAACTCAAAAGCCAACCTTTCTGTTTCAGATCCCTGGATGAAAATGATTTTTTCAAAACTTGGGTAATTGGAACCAAAAAGGATGGTTGTTAAAAATAAACGGAGAAATATCCAGAAGTGGGTTTCTAGCGGAAGCTTGGAAGAGGAATTCCGATCTAAAAAAACAATCTAGACATGTTCTTTTATCCGTAGGGAATGCAATGTTATCACATTCCCCTTCCATAAGCCCTCCTCAAACTCCTTCAGTAGTCAGCATTTCAGAGGAGAGACCAAAGTGAAAAGATCTTTGAAAAGAAAACAATGACGTGGCTGGGAAACCGTGTGCAGCTTGGCGAACATTTTTTTCCACCCACCACGAACTTGGGCTTTCTGGGAAGATCGCTGGTTTTCCAGTCAAAACCATTCTTGAAGTCATCAGGAACGGAGGAAGGGAGACCCGGCATCTGGGAAGGTGGTTCCTGGTTCCTGGTTCCTGGTTCCCGGGAAGGCGTATATCTGGGGCTCAGGAGCCAAACAGCCTGGAAAAGTCGGAGGGCAGAAATGTACATGAAGATGCGAACGAAGCAAAGCTATTGCTCTGAAAACACTTTCAGAAGATTTTTTATGTTACTATTAAGATTATTTTGTATCCTTTATAATTTTGTAAGTGATTTTTCTGTTACGCAACGTGAACATACTTAACACTACCAAACAGTACATTTTATTTTTTTTTAATGTTTTTATTTATTTTGAGACAGAGACAGAGCATGAGCAG